CCCAGTATATTCTCCAGGCTTCATTTTGTGGAAGAAATGATCTTATCTTGAAATTTCCACTCCTCTTAGAATCTGAGAATTTGTGTTCTTGGCACACTTCTTTGTATATGTCTCACTTAGAAAGATCAAAACTTCCTTCCTTAACAAAGAAGAGAATAAATATATGATACAAACTACGAAAGGAAGTCAGGATATGGGGTTGAGCAATGGTGTGCATAGGGCTGCTGACCAGTGGTGGGTTCCGGATTCCGTTCCAACCAGTATGGTTGGAATGGGCCCAGCGTCACCCAAATGGACACACACGGGTGCATGCATCGCACTTGCCTATGATGTTTCCCCAGGCCCCCGTGACGCTCCAGCTGCTCGGCGGAGCATCATGCAGCCGCTGTATGCGCCATGTGCATCTGTGGAAGCGCCAAAGGGCTTAAAGCACAGGTAAGGAGCTCGGGCGGGCGGGTAGGCCCTCCGGAACACTGTACCGGAATGTTATCTGGTGCTCCGGGCAGGCTCTGATATGCCCGTACTGGGGCGTACCGCCTGCTACCCACCACTGCTCCTGACAGAACCCATGAAGAAACTAAGACCAACAACACATTTTTCAGCAGGTTTAATGTAAATTGGTAAATAGAACATATTATCTGCATTGTTTTATTGGCAAGGTCAAACTGAACCCTTGTAGCTTGAAAAAGAAACAGCACTGCCTGGGAGAAAATGTGGAAAATGTGGAGGTTATCATTAGAGGTTATAAAAACAATCCATTTTATGAATTTAAGATACATTTTTGCTGCTTCTATTCCAGTCACTTCTCTGAAAAATGACTGGCCTCTGAAATTACTTTCCCATCCTTGGTCTCAATGGTCTTGATCATCAAAGGCCTTTTCAATGAGCTGCTGTTGGAGACCAAAATCCCTGCAGCCCCAATGTGAGAGGGAAGAGTCAGGAATCCAGCTGCAGAAGCAATGGGTGGATTTCAGAATTGATAGAGGAATCAGAGGAGGAGGAGGTCTCAATGCAGAAGTTTTTGATTGGCTCACCAAAACAATTTGGCAGAAGAGGAAGCCAGAGAACTCATGCAAATTAAGTCAGCAGGCCAATGTAACAAAACAAAAAGAAAACAAAATGTCAACTGACCACATGCAATAAGCAACAGCTTCCTTAAATTTTCCTTCTCCATTCTGCTGTTCTTCAAATGTGTTGGGCTTCATCTGTTATTATCCTAAACTATGCTAATTGGGTTGGCCTTGATGAAACTTGTTTTCCCACACACCTGCTGAATGGTTTCTTGGTGAAAGGTGGTTTTGACAGAGAAAGTCAAATGCAGGCAATAATTTCAGACTGAGAAACATTTAACCAAACACTGATTCTTCACACTCTACAAGACTCACAGAAGAATCTAGAGTTCTGGTCCATTATCTCAAATGGGCAATGCAGAGAAGTTAGCATTATTCAACAATCAAAAAGATTAGATGAATTAGATTGAAAGCATTATTTTGCATGAATAATAATACATTTTTGCAGCATCTTAAGCAATAGAGAAACATTTAGGCAATAACTTTGAGAATAGGTTTTACATATTTCTGCCAATTTTTGGAGAACACTTCAGTGGTAATTGCATGCAGTATGAAGCAGCAGCAAAGTATACTACAAACTACTGTATATACAAACTATACTTCCGGCTTTGACTTCACCCATTTCATTTATTAACAGAAGGCTAAGTGGCTGGCAGTTCTATTATCACTAATTCCATGGACATGCATTGAGTGAGATTCAGAGGCAGAACAAACATGTATAAGTCTATATTGGGCTAATGTCCCATTCAGTCTTTAGATGAAATCTGCAACTTCAATATTTGAATTCAGACTGCTAAAATTAAAAATCCATATGCTTTACATTTCTTTGTATTTGTTTGTTTTGACTGGTTTCAAACATTGACTGTGAAATACTATTTCTCATTGGTTATCTGGTTCTAAATAACATTACATGTCCTCCATTAAATGCCATCAATATATAGCAATGGTCTTTCAACTAAGATTTTGGAGACTTCAGAGCTATCCTAAAAATGTAACAGCAGTTCTTCAATGAACTAATAATTAATAAATGTCTCTCAAAATCATGTTATCCAACATAGATGTTTTTCTACAATATATAAGTAAAGAACAGCTTCCCAATAGATAATGGTAATGTTTATGTAGGCAAAATATTCTCCAGATAAATCCTCCAACATGGGCAAGAAGCAGATATGTTGAGATCTGTGAAAGTTTAATGTTAACTACTGCCACTGTTTATCACCAATTACTAGTGTTAAACTGCACTGTACACCAGTTTTTGAATTTGTAAATTAGATATCATTGCAGCATACAACAAGTGATACCTGTATCTAACACATAATTTAAAATTCAGGGATATGGAATGGCAAAGGTGGCAAAAGAGGATTTTAGGTAAGCCTTTGCCCTCAATTTGTTTCACCTTTTTTCAGGACATGAAATACCCAGATGAAACTCAGGACACTGCAAAAAGTTCACAGAGAATTGGGAGGTAGAATAAGGCTTCCATAATATCAACAACCTCAGAAGGAGAAAGATCAGCAAGAGACAGGTGCTTGATTTACCCCAACCCATCAGAACAGGAAGGCTACTTACCTAACGTGTTAATGGCATTGACCCGTTGTGGTGGAACCTGAGCAACCATCCTGGGAGAAATAAAAGGAGCATGTTTGTGAAGTTGGAAAACATGTAAAAGACAGCATGGGTTCTTTTGGAGAAAAAGCCTTACCTTATTGGTACAGACTGTAAAAAAGGTTCCAGGGCCAGTTTGGGAACCTCCAAGTAGGACTAGAAAATATGTCTGAAACCTTGGAAAACTTTATCAGATTAATGGTAAAGGTTTCACTCGCATATACAATATGTGCTAGTCATTCCCAACTCTAGGGGGCAGTGCTCATCTCCGTTTCAAAGCTGAAGAGCCAGCACTGTCCGAAGACATCTCTGTGGTCATGTGGCTGGCATGACTAAACACTGAAGGGACATGGAACGCTGTTACCTTCCGACCAAAGGTGGTTCCTATTTTTCTACTTGCATTTTTACCTGCTTTCGAACTGCTAGGTTGGCAGAAACTGGGAAAAGTAACAGGAGCTCACTCCATTATGCGGCGCTAGGGATTCGAACTGCTGACCTTCTGATCAACAAGCTCAGTGTCTTAGCCACTGAGCCACCGCGTCCCTTTTTATCAGATTATACTCTCCTAAAATGCTCTTGTTATCCCATTCCAAATGACAGTAACAGTCTAGATTCACAGCTGTATTTCTGCTACCTGTTCTTGAAGGAATCAAGTCCTTTGTGTCCTGATTACATCCTCATTTGGGATGGGATAATCTGTATGTTAATATATTTGCAAGCCAGCACATGACAGCATCAAAGGGTCTATCCAAAGCAGCATACCATCTACCGAAGTTGTCCCTTAACCTGCCTCAAAATGTTATCCTCCAGCACTATCTGGAAACTGACATCCAACTTTTTGGGAGGGCCCTAGGCTCTATGTTGCCCTTAGGGGATCAAGTGCAGAGGAATCCATTCATATCCATCCACAAAAAAGTCCAAGCTGACTCTTGCTTACCGGTTTTCTTCTCCTTCCAGCAGCTTTCTGTAGGTGGCAATTTCTATATCAAAGGCCAGCTTGAGGTTCATCAGTTCTTGGTATTCTCTCATTTTGGTGGCCATGTCATGTTTGGCTTGCTTCAGAGCCTCCTCCAGATCTTGGACGGTACTTTTAGCACTTTGCACAGCCTGTTCTCCTTGTTCTTCTGCTGAAGCCACAGCATTTTCCAAATTGGCTCGCTGGGCAGGACAAAAGAGGAACATTTCCATCTCCACTGTCTGGGTGGAAAGACTTATGGAGAGCTCAGCAACTAAGAAGAGGCAGCAAAGCCTCAGAAGCAAAGCCTCTCTCTTTAAGTATGGCAGGGAGTGGTGGGTGGGACTGACCTCTTTTGAGCTGCATCTGCTTGCCTTCCATTCTGCAAAGGTATTGTGAATAGCCAAGAAGACTGTGAAGACGTTTCAAGGGAAATAACCTCCCAATGAAGAAGCAGATAAAAGTCAGCCAAGAAAAGAAGGTATGGTGTATGGCAGTGATGGCGAACCTATGGCACGCGTGCATGCGCGCGCTGGCCAGCTGAGTTCACCCTTTTTTAAAGCCATTTTTCGCCCTCCTCAGGCTCCAGAGGCTTTATAGGAGCCTGGGGAGGGCGAAAAGTGCCTCCCCCACCCTCCTGGAGGCCCTCCAGAGGCTTCATGAGCTTCCATGAAGCCTCTGGAGCTCAAAAAAACAGCCCTACGGGCAAACCAGAAGTTTGGGAATGGACTTCCAGTTTGCTCAGAGGGTCGTTTTGACTGCTCCGGAGGCTTCAGGGAAGCCTCCTGAAGGTCCCTAAAGCCTCCGGAGGGCTTCTGGGGGGGCGGGGGAGGCTGTTTTCACCCTCCCCAGGCTCCTATAAAGCCTCTGGAGCCTGGGGAGGGCGAAAAAAGCATGCAAAAAATGGCTGGTCGCGTCTGTAGCGCTGCATGCGCACTGGGGGGGGGTTTCACGCATTGCATTATGGGTGCAGCACACCCACACAACCCCCCCTGCACTCCCCCCACTTATGGCACGCGAGCCGAAAAAGGTTCACCATCGCTGGTGTATGGTATGGCATATGGTATGGTGTATGGCCATGAGCCCTCTCTGTGGGCACGCGAGCTATCGCCCCAGCTCAGCTCTACCACACATCCGTGTGCCTCCTGCCGGCCAGCTGATTTTTGGGTCTCTGCCACACATGCATGGGGGGTTCATGTGGGAGATGCACATGCATGCGGGGGGAGCAGGAGGGTTGCATGCAGGTGTGCAGGGGCGGGGGGAGTTCAGGGGATGCGGCACCCTCCCCATGGCCCATTTTTGCTCCCAGGAGGCTGCAGGGAGGCCTACTAGGCCCAAAATGGGGTGCTTGCACCCATAATGCAATCCACGCATTGCATTATGGCTGCACATGCACATGCTTTTGGCATGCAACAACAAAAAGGTTAGCCATCACCTGTGTATGGTGTATGGTGTATAGTATGGTATCCAAAGCTATGCAACTTTTTTTCCGGCTGACGGCTGTACTTGATCTTTGAATAGTATGGCCATGTTTGCCTTCCAAAAAGTGGTAGGATCAATAACTACTTCCAATCTGTATTTGTTTTAATGCCTTTGTCACTTTAGCAAATATTATTGGTAATCACTGTTAGAGGGGAATAGCAATTTGTTTGTTTTATATCTCATAGGAGCTCAGCACGATTTACACAAGGATCACTCATCATTTTAACTTCCTAACAACATTCTAGGACTTGGGCCAAAATTGCTCAGCAAGTTTCCATAGCTGAATAGACTGTATCCAAGACTTTGGAGGCACAGAGGTTGTTTATCCCTATGCCTATTCCAAACTACACAAGCCACATCACAGCTTCACACAATGTATGAGCCCAGACAACATTTGGGGTTAGAAGACCTTTGGAATCAAATGCTGGCCTCCTGGATTCATCTATAGTAGTGTTAATGGAAGAGAGTAAAATTTACAGCTGGAGCTTTTGAGAAGCCTGTCCCGTTCTAAGAAATTGTGCCCTCTTGCGTTTTATTTTTTAAAAAAGGAGAGGACATGTGCAGCTGGACAAATTAAAGACAGATAGGAAGATAGTTACAAAAGAGAACAAAATGAACCATTGGCTGGATCCCAAGGCTGGATCACAGAATGGGTTGTAGCTAGAGCCTCTGTGGCATTTCCCCACCAGCCTTGTGTGTGCTCTGCTGTTATGAATATTTCTGGTTAAGATGTGTGATTCTGTCTAGAGACTGGCAGCTTACTTGATTCTTTAAGGCTTCAATTTCTCCATTGACATGCTGAGCATAGCGAGTCAATTCAGCAATTTGACTTTTGATGCTTTTCATCTCATCATTATGTTTCTGAGTTTGTCTTACAATGTCATCAATCTGGAAGGTAAGAGAGGGACAAACACGAATCATTATGATAGTATATTCAGAGGAGTAAGACACAGCATCCATAGCAAGAATACCAGGTCTCAGGCAGGCAAACACATAGGTAGATTTCGCATCCTCAGATCTTCCAGATATGCGGGATATCATATCACATACTGGATTCCTTCTAGAACAAGCATGGAATAAAATCTAGGGCATGGATGGCATTAGAAGTCAGAGAAGTTTCAGGCATCAACCAAAGTCCTTTCTGGTTGTGCAAAAGATTGGGTCCAAGTCATGATACTACAACCATGTTTAAATATGCATATGCTTCGTTATTACAACTAGATGAGAATTGACTGGCAGTAGACTATGCAGCATTATTAGCCCCCGAAATATTACAATATTAGAATGATAGAACTATCCTGAAAATTCAGGCATTGGTTGAAGGACTCAGGTTGGAATGAGGAAAGTTTGTTAAAGGAATTGCCAAGGCAGAAAGCTGCAGCTGTGATGAATATAACAAGATTAGTAATGAATGGTGGGACACTATTGCCTAGCAACAAGAAAGTTACAAATTAGAAGGACACAGAAGGATGCTAACTAAGGGACAGAGTGCCAACTTTGGTAACGTCTAGCTTATTATAATAATAAATCACACACCTCTTTTGATAAGAAAGCTTATTAATGTATGAAGGAGGATAAAGTAGAAAAAACAATCAAAAGAAACATGTGTCAAGGAATCAATGATTGATTCTTAGGGTGTTAACTTCCTTAATCATAACTGTATAAAATTTGTGTTTGTGTATTGTTTGGGGTCCTGGCTCCTTTAGCTGCTGAGGTCCTTTTGCTCCAATAAAAGCAGCTGAAAATACTATTCCTTGTGTCTGGTGATCTTTATTGGCTTCAGTGCCAGACTGGGACCCATGTTGGGAACATGTTAGGCCTTACCTAGAAGATTACAGTAGCTTAGTTGAAATAGCAATAGCACTTAGACTTATATACCGCTTCACAGTGCTTTACAGCCTTCTCAAAGTGGTTTGCAGAGTCAGCATATTGCCTCAATAAACAGGGTCTTCATTTTACCCACCTCGGAAGGATGGAAGGCTGAGTCAATCTTGAGCTGATGAGAATCGAACTTCCAAACTGCTGGCAATCAGCAGTCAGCAGACATAGCCTGCAATACTGCATTCTAACCACTGTGCCACCACAGCTTAATAGACCTCTGCTGGTTGTAAAAATCCTGAAATACTTTCCTAGACTCCCCTGAGTTGCAAAACATTGCCAGATTCTTTTTTCCTTGTTTCTAGAATCTGATTATTATGTGTATTTGAATCTGAAACTAGTTTGCTTTAATCTTGTAACAGTTTGTATTGGGAAGCTGGATTTCTGAGTTTAATATGAAAGAGGTAGCAAAATAAGATTGCCCTTTACCAATGTTTGCATGTGCATAGTTTATACTTTCATGATGTGGATGCAGGGATATAAGTGAACCAGTTACCTTGTTTTTGTACCACTGTTGAGCCTCATCACGGCTCTTGGCAATCATGGTTTTATATTGTTCTTTCACCTCATCAATTACGTTTTTCATCTCCAGTTCACGGTTGTTGTCCATCTCCACAGTGATCATTGCATTTTGTATCTGAGATTGCAATTCCTTGATCTCCTGGATGCGGGCAGGAAAGGCATAATACATTGTGTATAATATTGCAATTGTAGCCCTTTTTGGGGTAGGGCAGGGGTGTCAAACTGGTGGGCCCATGGTCCAGGCACAGGCCACGCCCACCTCACCATCATGAAACATCACGTGACAGCAACATGGGTTGACACCCATGGTGTAGGGGAAGCTTAATCATGAGGTAAAATTTGATCCCAGCCACTACAATATCTGTTCTTTACTCAGGGCTCTTGCAAGGAGCTACTAGCAAACAAATAAAAAGGAGAGAAAAATAATGCTCCCAATAATTTTCATCACATATAATGAATACATCAATCATTCGTTCATTTTTGTCTCTGGTACTCACCTCTTCAAAGAGCTGCTTGAGGTATTTGATTTCATTTGTGATGCTCTCCAGCTTGGATTCAACATCTATTTTCTGCAAGTAAATATCATCCAGGTCCTGCCAGAAGAGAAAAGTACACAACAGGATTCGCCTCTGGATACCTATCATGTGCCTTGAATTTCACTAAGTACTGTATGAGGTAGAAGTTTTCCAATTTTTGAGTTAATACAAGGTCAAATGTATTATCCTAAACCTTTTGGTGAGCCTTTAACTTGCCTCCAAATCATAATATTTAATGTGTGATTGAAGAGGAGAATTATTAAATGCACACTGTGATTAATCAAAATGATGGTATGTAATTTAATTTAATTATAACTACAGTTATATTTCATTGAGTCAAATTTAGTTCTTTTCCTGCTCTTATCCATTTTTTTTTCATGGTGGACCTTAGCAGTTCATGCAAAATTTGGCAAGCCCGCACCTTTTTAACCATTCAGAAGGCCATTACCACTCAGGTGTTGGAGTAGACATAAGATGTCTGGAGTGAGGCCTCCCAGGAGATGATTGAGGCACTGAGTTTTTATTTGGGTTTGTGTTTTTTATAATGATTGCGAGTTGCCTAGAGTTGGCTTTTTTTTTAGATGAGCAGCCATACTAATATTTTAAACAGACAAATACAACTAGTTACAACAGTTCATTTAGTGACCGTTCAAAGTTACAATGAGCACTGAAAAAATGGACTTTTGACTGTTTTTCCTACTTATGACCATTGCAGTATCCCCATGGATACATGATCAAATTCAGATGCTTGGCAATTGACTCACATTTAAATTGATTGCAGTTGATAACCTGGGGTCATGTGATCACCTTTTGCAACCTTCTGACAAGCAAAGTCAATGAGGAAGCCAGATTCACTTAACAACCATGTTCCTAACTTAACAACTGCAATGATTCTCTATTTGACAAGCTTGGCTGGAAGCCTGAGCCATCTTGCATATAGCAAAACAATGCTGTTTTCAAAAATTCTGGAATCTTGAGCAAATCTATGCATTTTCTCTAGTGTGCAGGAAGAAGGAATAGTTGAAGTGAACTTCACTTGGTTCTCTCTAGTTAAAGTTAAATGAGAATGGAAATCGAGTCAGGCTAACTCTAATCCTAACCCATATATCCACCTTGTGTGCACTTTTCCTATTTCACAGACGGGTGTGCAGTGTGGAAGCAAAAACATTTAACAATCCCCCTTCCATCATACCAACAGCCCTCTGTCATATTGCTCAGAAAGAAAAGAAAAAGTAAGGGGAATGGGTGAATATGGAGAAGGAAAGCTGACACTGAAAACAGTTTGAATTCCTCAGGAAAGAAAGTTGTATTAGCTGGAAGTTGCAGAAGAGAGAAAAACAATCCCAGATTAATCAAAGGTAAGAAGGGCTGGTCCCACTAATTTTTAGCGCTCCATTACTCCTTTTACCTTTTTTGTCACCACAAATTCATTTTCCAGTTGGTTACGGTGATTTATTTCCTCTTCATACCTATAGATTAGAGGACAAGAGACAATAGTTGTGAGGTGCAGTGGGGAACAAATTAATGTAATTGTTGAGTTGGCACGTACCCATTACCAACTTCCTTTTCTCTAGCGGCCTCTACAAGACCTGTCTTCAAAGCATCCAACTTGTACCATTTTATATTAATGTTATAAAATAAACAGGAAACTAGCTATTTATAGTTGTAGTTGGGAATTCAATATATGGCATATTAAAACTGAGCTGAGGTAAAATAAAATGGAACATAAATTGCTTTTCCAAATTTTTCATCTAATGTGCGGGCAGGGAAATGAGTGGGTGATTTTTTTTCCAGGCAGAAGAATAAATGCTCAATAACTTCACAAGGGAACAACCATCATCTAGTGGAGACATTTGCACTGCTCCTGAAAATGCCCTCTAGCTGGATTCCCCTCATTAGAGTATGTCTTCCCTTAGGATTTAATGGAATGTGGGAAGCCAAATGTCAGTTTTCTGCCAGCATGCTGAACTGGAAACAGATAAGCTCTCAAGTTTCAAAACCTCTGCTAAGTAAATGTTCTGTAGAAAGGCTAAAGAACTCCAGTATCTGTTGTGTATCAATTACAAGACCTATTTATAAATAAATTATTGTTCAAATTTTTGCATCTCTTTTTCTTATCAGTATAATATAATGGTTGGCCTCTTCTGGGAAGGAAGGACATTTTAGTAACAGACAGATCTGCTATCAGGCTATGTGCATTTCAAAAGCAGTTCTCACTCCAAAGGAGCTGCAGATGGATTGGTGTGCTACCCTTCATTATACTTTCACCCATCCTGAGCACTTTATACACTAAAGACACACCTACCACATTCTACTCATAAGTTCATTGGAAAAAAAAAAGCTTGTTCCCTTGAAAAAAATTCTGAAGTCAATTCCTGACACACACATGTACTCATGCATACAAACATAATATTAAATTAGAAATCTCCCATTCTCTCTCATGATTTGCTCACTGGCTTTTTAATTCCTCCAGAAATGTCTGTGTTTGGCCCAGCTCATTTTGCAATTTCATCTTATCTTGATTGAGCAGGTCTATCTGCTGCTTAAGGGGCTGGCTGTGGGCTGTCATAATACGCCTCACATTGGATTTGTATTGGTCTTTGCCCTTCAGAAGTTTCAGCTGTGTCTCCAGCACTTTATTCTGCTGCTCAAGCTTGCGTACCTTGGAGAGGGAAAACAGAGAGACAAACTAGAAAGGAGAGGCATTTAAAATTCTTTGATCAGGATACAAGAGTTTTTTTGGCCATTTATGTGTAGTCCCAGACATCCACTGTATAAGAATCTGTGGAATTTGCTATCAGATGGAATTACTTTTAACCACTGGTTTTCAGTTATTTACACTTTTGCTTGCTTCCCACGTCAGTTAAACTTTAACAGAAGATATCCTTAGCAAATTCTTTTCTAAACATAAAGTCCCAACTGGCCCAGAATGTGGCACTATGAACATTTTTGGCCACCCCATTGTTCACCTGTGTACACTGTTGCTGTGTGAGCTATACTTGATTATGATTATGAACAATCAAGTTGTTTCAACTCCTAACAACCACAGTTAGATTTTTTTTCCATGATTCCCAAGTTAGGTTCTTAACCTTGACCTTCAGCACTTCCAGTGATCCATCCCTTAAGTAACTGTATCTACCTTGTTGGTGGTTATCCCCTCTTTTCTCTGTCCTTCCACCTTTTCCACCATTACATTCTTCTACAGGAATATAACTCTTTGCATAATGGGCCCAAAGTAGGAAAAGTTGGACCCCATCATTTGTGCCTCAAACCAGAACTCTGGGTTGATTTGTTCAATGACCCATTTGTTTGTTTTCTTGGCTGCCTACGATATTCTTGGCTGCCTACGATATTCTTGGCTGCCTACGATATTCTTGGCTGCCTACGATATTCTTG